GGGATATGCTCTACCGCTTTACTTAAACCTGCTCTTGCCCCTATTAATTCAGCCTCCAGAAGAGCACTGGCACCAGGTAGCTTGAGATATTCCATGACAAGGAATGGTAAGACGACCATTGCCAGTACGCCTGGAATACCATATTTGGCCACCTTCTTCATAGTTTTTTTAATATTGGATTTGGTGGTCTTTTCCTGTAGCTCCATGACATTTTTCATAAGAGATTCTTCTGTTGCTTCCATATTCGGTCTCATCATTCTTTTTGCTGGTTCTAAGACACTTCTCATAAGAGCTTCTTCTGTCTCTTTATATACTGAATCAACGGCTGTTACATCAAGCTTATTCATAGTCTGCATATCTTCTAGTAATTCAACCTTTACTTTGCGATCTTCAATGCGTTTATATATAACCCAATCATTTTTATTCTTATCTGGATCTTTATCTTTCTCTTTCTCATGCAAGTATATATATATGGTGTGCTTCCTTTCCTGTGGTAATATGTTCCTCTTTACAGATTCTTCTGCTTCTTCTTTTCCTTTTCTTTTCAATAATTCTTTTATATTTTCTAAATCCCCTTCTCCCTGATGGTGAATTTTCTTAAATAGACTATTTTGGCACGTTAAGTATAAGTTCTCCGCATACTCATCAACTATCGCTGACGCATCTTCATCGGGTGTAAACCCATCCGCACTTATGATATTAATCTTCTTAAATAATTTATTGTTCTCTGTTATGTACATACCGCTATCATTCTCAGGTTCTGCTTTCTTTCCATATCTGTTCAATAAACCGCATTCATTTATGTACTGCATTTTCCTATATAGATTCTTAGAGCACGTTACATATATTTTGTTAATTAGATGGTCTTCTTTCATCAATTCCTCTTTGTTCAGTAGATCAATCGAATTTCCTGATATATCTTTTTCAAACAAATCGTCTCTACCCAGTTTGTCATTGGTGTTCATAGAACTACTTGCCATCTCGAATTTTGCGTTGTGTAACTTGTCACTTTCTTCACTAAAATCAGCTTTTATTTGCAATGTAGGTTGATAAGACCTGTATTCCTCCTTAAAAAGACCATCTCTAAATAATGTTTCACGGTTCTTCATATGAACAAATCCTTCTTGGACATCGTCAGGTCCTTGTACATGCACTTGTTTCGATGCATGCTCCTTCTTTGATGAATCGTTCCTACTTATGATATCATCTATAGAATCAATCTCTGCTTCGGACGGGTCCTTTTTTGATGCATAACTTTGTTTTACTTTCTGCATTCTTTTATACATCTCATTACTTCTCTTTATATAAAATTCCTCTGTGGATAGACCTTCCTCACAATATGTATCTGCGCTTGTATCATACGTATAATCATATGCTTCCTGTTCAAACTTTCCCTTGGGTTTATAAGTGCCTGTTGCAGCCCTTAATCTCTTCTGCATATCTCTTTTGCATGTTATGTATATATGTTTCTTTGTTTCATCTTGTTTTTGCTTCTTCGTCCTCCTTTTTATTTCATCTAGGGTATCAACATCTGATTTCGCATATTTTTGCGAGGATAAGAGACTTCTCCTGACAGACTTGACCCTGTTATGCACATTTCTTGCAGCTTCTATGTCACCTTCTTTCCGTCGGCCATATACTTCTGATGAATCATATCTTCTATATCTATAATCCCAGGAAGAAGAAGATCCTTCCTCCTTAGATACCCTTCTTGGATTCACATCGCGCCTACGTCCTGAAGAATATAAACTGTTATAATCATCTGCGCTAGAAAAATCATCCCTTGTTGATGTTCTTTCTGTAATAGCTGCGCCAACTTCGCATGGTGAGCCACTCTCCACTAACACTGTCTCCGTAGTATCGCAAGAAGTTGTACTCAAGGAATCGTCTCTTGCCATTCTTTCCTTCTTGTCAACTACATGAATCTGTCTTGTAGTATTAACCTTTGCCGAGATTTCTTGTATGGTGATTGTGCCAACTGTGCTCAAGGAAGCGTCTTCTTCTGAAAATTGTTCCTCGGGAAACGCATCAATTGTGCTCAAGGAATGACTTCTTTCCGACCATCTTTCTCTAGTGTCAGCTTCAACTGAGCTCAAACACCTATGTTTCTGTGATAATCTTTTCTTAGACAAGCCGTAATTTGATTTCAAAGAATTACTCTCTTCCGACATGTTCCGTGTCTTCACTGCACTCTGTCTGACTGTGCAGGCAACTCCAGGTAGTATTCTTTTTGTGATGAGAACTTCATCTTTTTCCAAGGAATGCAATTTTCTCAGGGACTGGTCCTTTTGCTTTATATCGATGTCCTTTCCATTTCTAAGGTGGGTGAATGTTCCTACTTTGGTTGTTCCTTTTCTATTTG